CTACAAGACGAGTCACTTCTAGGGGCAGTAGATGTGAAGGTCATTTTTATATTGATTGTTTTCAGAAAATGCACGAAAAGCGTGATTTCCAGGGAGAGAATTGAATTCATTAGTAGTTTTCAACAATAAGCAATGTTTTTCCTAGCCCACTTCGTGTATAGTGGTATTTGGTGATTGCGAACCCATTAAATACAAAAAACTCCAAGTAAAACTAAAAATCGATAAAAACAACCGATAAGAAGGGTGCGGTCCACCGTTGAGCCGCGCTGTCCCACGCGACCAGAAAACCGTGGCTCACCGTTGAGCCGCGCTGTCGTCAAAGGGTTAACATTCGGGAAGCAAAGTAAGGTCCGGCTGGTCAATATGAGGCTTGCGGACCTCTCCTGTCAATAATATCTTGAGAATGTCAAAGTGTTCCTTTGATAATTGTATTTGAGAAAAGTTATCAGTAAACAAAGACAAGAGCATTCTTTTCTACGTGACAAAAAGGCATAGAGCTAGAAACTATGATGTCTTCCCGTCTATCCTAAACAATTCGTTGTTCGCTTGAGTTTGCTCTGCTTGTCTACTTGTCGTTACTAATTAATAGCTAAAGAGCTGAAGGAATTCGCATTAGGTAACGCTTAAGTAATTTTTTGATTTTTCGGTTCCCTCCTTTATACGTCTATTAATAGTGTTGCAGTGTGACCACCACGCAATCACCCCAACCACTGCGAATTCTTCGCGTTCTTTCGTTTTGCAATAATGGCTTGGAAACGGCTTAAATTCACCCCATTCTTCTACAAATGTTTGGTGAGGGTTTCATCTACAACTACATGTCGGTGGATGGTTATGAGCCGCAGAGTTAGCCACTGAAATTGGCATGGGAGCGGAAAGAATGCATTGGAGACGAACCATGGAAGTGTCTTATCGCCATGCACGACTTTCACTATTCTATATTATTGCCAGAGAACTGACGAAGATTGGCAAAGTCGAGTAAGTCGGACGACGGGCTGATTCTTTCCGAACAGAAGAGCAACACCTCCATATTTCTCTTCCTCCCTTCTCTACAACTGAGACTCGAGCCCAATACGCTCACCACTGTAGCCGTGAAGCGGATGATGAGCGAAAGCGTTGTTAGGAAGAAGTAGCGGGTGAGCCAAGATGGAACAGGGCCAGTCGCGTAGTTCAAGTTGGACTTCAATAGGTATTCCCCTTTCGTTTGAGGTGAAGGTGGTTGGTGATTTAGACTAACTTAAAAGACTTTATATCGAGCTTACATGTGAAAAGCAGACTGAAGTCGCCTTTTGCATGACATAAGGCGAATTTGACACCAGACGACATCGAAGACTATTTCTGTTTGGTACTACCCATCCTTCTTAAGCGAGGTCAAAAACTATTTTTGCTTGGTAATCTCCAGCCTGTAAATAGCCAGCTCGCATTCCCTTCTGTTATTGGCTATTCATCCACCTCCAAAGCCGTTTGGATGGGAAAGCATTAGAGACAGAGGGCGAGGTCGGAAAGGAGCACAGTGTCATTTTGGAAGCTCAGCTCCCGAATCTCCTTTATGAAGGAATCGATAAGCTGCCTGAGTATAGGCGCAGACCTATAGCTTCGCGTGATACATGCCACTGATATCCTGTTCTTCTGTTCGTTGTTGAAATGTAGGCATCTAGGGGAAGCTAGAAAACTAGAAAGGGCTTATGCGGCAAGCTAATAGTATTTACGCGGTGGCAAGCGGTCTCGTTTCATGCGATCCCGTCTTGTGGTCTGTGGAGTGACGACGTCTATTCATTTTGATGAGCTTGAATTACTGAGCGCAATCGATGGGCATGGCTGCCTGGATGTAATTTTTTAAAGTTGTCTAATAAAAGAAGGATAATAGGTTTTGAAACACTCATCAGATTAGTTGCAACATTCTACTTATCATTATTATTGTTAAGACTTTCACTTTCGAGGCAGTGATGTTACATAACGATGTCGTGCATAGTAAGCGAATTCTTTGTTTTCAGGCATACGAGGTCCTGTCTGATGAGAAAAAGCGGCAGCTCTATGACCAAGGTGGAGAAGAGGCCCTCCAAGGCGGTGGAGGTGGTGGAGAATTCCACAATCCATTCGATGTCTTCGACATGTTCTTCGGAGGAGGTGTGCAATAATTGATTCTAGAGTTACTTGGTCATGATCCATTCACTGCGTAGAATCGGTCAAAAAGTCTCTAAGTTGTTGATGCTTGTTACATTAAGTTGGTGATTTTCAGGAAAGCGTCAACGCGAGCGTGGAGTGCGACCGACGGTTCATCAGATGAAAGTATCTCTGGAGCAACTATACAACGGGTTTTCAAAGAAATTGAAGGTATGGCAGTTTAGATACAAAGGGTGTAGTCAAAATATGAAGTTTGTAAAGTCTTTTCTACCGTTAATAGTAGTGAAGTCGTGCATGGCTTTAATTTTGATGATTTTNTTTTATTTTTTCAAACTTTTAGGTGACTAGGACGGTTATATGCACAGACTGCAAAGGGCTTGGTGGAGCGGCCGGTTCTGTTGTTAAATGTAGCGATTGCAAAGGAAGAGGTATGATAATAAGGTAAGTGCCATCTTCCTTCTTTCTGTCAGAACATTTGTTTGAACTTTTGTGCCGAAAATGCTTCGATTCCGGATTCAGGGTGATGCAATTGGCACCTGGAATGATTCAACAAGTTCAGTCACCATGCGCTAATTGTAAAGGAACGGGTGAAATGATTCCTGCTAAGGATCGTTGCAAGGGTTGCCAAGGACAGAAAAAGGCCTGTTACATCTTCTCTAATGCTTGTTCGCAAAAGATTTGTAATAAGATTAACTTAACTTTTTTGCTATCTCGGCGAGCGAGGAGAGCTTGCCGGTCCTAGAAGATTGGAGGCAACAAAATGACTTATCGGAGATTTCCTTACTTTTGTAGTTGTATAGTTTCTGACATAACAAACGAGAGCACCATACCGTTAAATTCAATCATCCCTGTTTTCATGGACGTCTTGAGAAGGCATAAAGTGAACCTTTCGTTCAAGTGATGCATTGTTTTAAACCATTTTTCACTTTTACCGCGAATATTGGGATTAGGTATCACTCTAAATGATATTCTTTTGCG